AAAAGTACTTAAAATTACTGATTAGTGAAAATTAAAGCCAATAATGATTATTACAATGAAAATAATATATTTAAGCAACAAATGAATTAATGGTTTAAATCAATAAATTTTATTTTGAGTTCAAATATAAAAATTATTTACAAAATATATTTTACAATAAATAAGTTATTATTAATACAAAAAATAGTATTGATTTCATAATTTAGTGAATGAAAGTGTAATGAAATGATTGGCAAACTCTTGAAAGTTTATAATAAGGCGCTGTCTTTGTTGTAGTGATTGGTTGTATGCCTTTGTTTGTGGAGAAAGAAGATTATAAAACAGATGAGAGAAGTGGCCAGAAGTGCCAGAATTGTAGTCGAAGTGCTCAGAAATGTGATCAACATTTCAGCCGTTGAGCTGAAGAGGAATAATTGCGTGACTGAGACCACGTTGTCTTTCGTTTTGTTGCTCTCCATTTTTGTCTTGATTACAGAGATATCGCTATTTAACCACAAGTTGTCTGCCTTTGGACCCAAACCATTGGGATTGCCATAAGTGGCGAAGTTTGTGAACGATTGGACCAACAGTTGTGTCATCTTTTCGTCGTCTTTGTTGGGTATGACAGGAGAGCCATGAATGAGACCGAAGGCCAGTAAGACGTCGTCGCCGTGAATCGCAGAGTCGATAAATGAGGGCGCGATCGAGAAGGACGGCCGGTATTGGAGTTCATAAGCGAATGTATTGGTCGGCGTTGTGTTCATATCGTTTTGTTTTGTGAGTTGTCTTTTGAGCAAAAGTTTGTTAAAGTTTTTCATATGAGAGGTAATGAATAGAGAGGAACAGAATTCCAAGTATTTCTGTCTGTACGACGAGTTCTGGTTTTTGTTGACCAGCGCTGATATGAACGCTCGGTTCTGATAACTGGTCGTACCGTTTGAGTCGTGTTTTTGATTGAAAAACATTTTCATATCGCTTTCGATCATTTCCAAGAAGTCGTTTTCAGTCAACTCATTGTTTATGATTTTGTCGTAATACCGACTTTTGCTGGCGAAGTGTGTCAACAGACAGAGACTGCCCTCGACTTTGTTGGTGCCAAGCATTACATCAGTCACGCCGTTAGCAAAGTTTCCGCTCTCCAAGACTTTGAGCGGTTCCGCTTCAATCAGGTCCGAGTCAAACGTCGGTCTCCAGCCATAAGACGCCTTTTCCAGAATATTTTGAGCCGAAATAGTCTTCAGGCAATTGGTGTCCTTCTCGTCGCATCCGATCTGATTGAGGAACTCTTTGGCCTTCATTTGATGGTTGTGTTCAAAAACCCATTCACCGACTGCTATACCGCTCAAAAGGATAGCGCGTCTGAAAAGCGGTGGACTCATGTCTCGGACGACCGGCGAAGTCAATAGTATCGATATAGACATCGAACCCGTGAAGCGACCAAATACTGTGATATTGTCGGCGTCGGCGCCAATTGCTTTGGCATTCTTTCTGATCCACTTGAGAGCCATAATCTGATCCCAAAGACCCATATTTCCGGCGGCAGACGAATTGGTTTTCAAGAAACCAAAGACACCGACTCTGTATTGAACGGTAATTACGATAACGTTTCCCAACGACGCCAAGAATGAGCCGTCAAATTGTCGCGCGTCCGCAAAGTCATAGCCTTCTCCCGGCAGCCAAACCATTACCGGCAGCGAAGACTGCTTAGTGTTTGAGAGCTGTTTCGGTACATATATGTTGAGAATTTTGTTATTCATGTGTATATCTGTTCAATATATGTGTGTATGTGTGTGCGCGTGTGTGTGTGTTAAGGGCATTCTCCAGAATGACCCCCTTTGGGGGTGTATAAGCCCATTTAGGGGGCTTACAATATTTACCCATGCTTTATATAACCCGAAGAATTGAATTATTGCCAAAAAAATGTGAACAATATTTATATGGACTGACATTGAAATCTAAAGAATCAGTTATTTATTAATGAATTCCCTTTTTCTTCGAATCTTATGATTGAAATTAATATCAATTGGTTTTAAAAACTCGTCTAAAATCAATATACAATTAATATTGTATATAATTTAATGAAAACCCCATTAGTATTGTCTGCTAAGGAAAATGTATATAACTTATTAAGCAATACAGTGTATAGGTATCTATCTTTTACAGATCTTATTTTAGTGGAAATTTTTTGGTTTATATATTTTTGGTAATAATCGTTGACTTCTCGTCGATAGCCTTCGTATTTCATTTGGAAAATCAAAATATTTTTAACGGAAAGATTAGGACTGTTTTGTATACGGTTTGAGATATTGTATAATTTTCTCCATTTCTTTAAATTCATGTGCATTTGTATCAAATTTTTGAAAACACTCGCAAAACATTGCATTAATTATAAGGACTCACAAGACTTTAAACACGGGATTTTGAATCATTATATAAAGTGTATTCGTGTGATAAGAGTACAGGAATTAGTATTAATTACTGTTATATAATTAACACCATAACTAATATACTGTAAATGTAGTATCAAATGCTTGTCTCACCAGAAGTTTCTATGTTTTTAATTATATCTTTTAATATCAAAACAAACATTTTAAAAATATTTGTACATTTTTGGATAAAAATTATATTTAATTAAAAATTTTGTTAATTAAATGTTAAAATATATTTAATTTGTAGATAATGACAGTTACAACAAAATCTATCCGATAATATTCCTTATGTCACCTAAAAATTGCAGTCATTTTCTGAGTTTATTGTAATAATTCAATGACTTTGAATATAACTCCAGCATTGCTTGCAATCTAAATGTTTTGAGATATCAAAAGGATTTAAAAGTGTTTTATTGATAACAGAATCGGTCGGAACCGGTGATACAATAATCGCAAAACTTGTCTACTAATGTAAATTCAATGTATCTTTATATATATTTCACGAATTCCTACTTTAATGTATTTGATTTAATTATTGATTATTTTTCTATATTTATGATTTAATTTTTCGTTTAAAATATTTTTTATTAATTTAAATGCATATCAAATAGTTGTTTCAAAACCGATGCCATAAATGCATTGACTTTTATGTGAAAATCAAAAATAAGAAATAATTGAAGTCAATGGCACTCTTAGTTTGATCATTAAATTCAATGTATTTTTATTTTTATGTTTATTGTGTTATAATAATTAAATACAAGGAATATTAGTTTAAACTCAAAAATTATAATTTCTAACAAAGAATGGGTTTAATTTTTATTGTTTTTTTAAATTCTGTATTAAAACTCATTAATAGTCGAGACATTCATAGTTTTGGCCTTCAAAATGACTGAACCAAAGGGCAAAAATTCTTAATTTTGCAATACTTTTGACTTTATTTATGCATTGAATGACTTCAAGAACTTTTTAAAAAAAACACATTAGTTTTAGGAGAAAAAAATTTGCCTGACTTTCAATAAATTACAAATTTAGGAGTGAATTGAATTAATTATAAGGTATTAAAACATTTAATTTATGTCTTTGTAAAAAGGTCTTTTTTAGACACATTGTAAACAAATTTCATCATTCAATATATGAAAACAATTTACAATCAATTGAAAAATTTGTTTTTCGGCTTTTAATACTGGGTTTAATACAATGACATATGAAATAAGTCAATGGCACTCTTAGTTTGATCATTAAATTCAATGTATTTTTATTTTTATGTTTATTGTGTTATAATAATTAAATACAAGGAATATTAGTTTAAACTCAAAAATTATAATTTCTAACAAAGAATTGGTTTAATTTTTATTGTTTTTTTAAAATTCTGTATTAAAACTCATTAATAGTCGAGACATTCATAGTTTTGGCCTTCAAAACGACTGAACCAAAGGGCAAAAATTCTTAATTTTGCAATACTTTTGACTTTATTTATGCATTGAATGACTTCAAGAACTTTCAGAAAAAACACATTAGTTTTAGGAGAAAAAAATTTGCCTGACTTTCAATAAATTACAAATTTAGGAGTGAATTGAATTAATTATAAGGTATTAAAACATTTAATTTATGTCTTTGTAAAAAAGGTCTTTTTTAGACACATTGTAAACAAATTTCATCATTCAATATATGAAAACAATTTACAATCAATTGAAAAATTTGTTTTTCGGCTTTTAATACTGGGTTTAATACAATGACATATGAAATGTTTGCATATTTGCAGTTCAATCACTTCTTCTCTCACTCTCTTAACCAATGTTTTTGTTTATATTTAAGGAAATACTTTTCCATCAAAAACTATTCATTCCTAAAAGTCTATTAACATTCATAGGAATCGTAATCTTTATTTTGGTGTGTAATCCACGTAAACCTCAATCTAAACAAATAATGTCTTTTTACTTTTGCAAACCACAAATGCAATCAAGCTTTTAGGTAAGAGTAATGGAAATATACTTTTTCTGCGGTCCGAATATAATCACATTTTTCACTAAAAACCTGAAAACGAGTCAAAAAATACTGTATAAGTAGTGCTTTAGTGTTAGCGACGAATGTAGGAAATATGGGGTAAAAGATCGGCAAAGAAATTGAGTCTCGATTTCGTTATACCATATATACTGACGAGAAAGAAGAGAAGGACAGGTATTGAGTACTTTTGGTGTCGTTAAATGAATTCTGAACTCATCTATACATTTAGATATAGAGATATAGAGTATATTCTCTACACTTATTATAGATAAAACAAAGTATAGGTAATATAAGAGTACAAAATATTTTTTACAGGTAAATGTCATCGAAGTTCACGTAATACCCGATGTTATTGTCCTGAAATGGTTGACCTCTTCAATGAAAGAGAGGGCAAAATCTTTTTAAATAAGATTTTTAACCTAAACTATTCCGTCCATTCGTTTTCAATGTTAACGCAATTTTTCCATACATTTCTAGAAAAATTTATGTTTTTGATTTTTTAGACTTAATGTCATTAAACTCGACAATATTTTATTAGAAAACTTATTAGCAATAAGTTATTGCATAATCTAAATGCAGTCATTAAAGAACCCATCGTTTTGTTTGATAAAAATGAACTGATATTTGGCTAATAAATGAATTGGTTTGAAAATGTGTAACAATTGATTTCTATTCCCATGGCTTTGTGTGTGGTATAAGATAATAATGGGGTGAATGTCATCGACATTTGATCGATAACTTTTATGTAACACTGAAATAATGACATTAAAAATATATATATTATTAGAACAAAGAATTTGTTTATTTAATCTGTTTTCACTGGAATTTTCTCATTTTTTAGGAATATTTCCAAGAAATATAACAAATATCTAGTCGTGTAACACATCTAATGATGATATTTACCAATTGTTTAGTTCGTACAATAAATAAATACACAAACAAAATAAAATACAATATAAAAATAGAAATGATCATAAACATTTTCCACTAATCAATCTTGATGCTCCCAAAAGTATTTTGTTTACAAAAATAAGAAACTTGTTTTTTATCTTAAAATACCGTAGAAATTAACCCTTTTCTAGATTTTTTTAAATTGTTTACTAATAAATAAAATACTATATCATTTTCTGTTGAAATGTTTACTTCAGTTGCGATACTTTTCCTAAGAATCTATAAAATTTTGGGTAAAAACACTTTAAATTAGGATTTTGTTTGTAATGATGCAATCAAAGAGTAAAAACGGCTTTAATTAAAATAAAAATTATTACATTTCTGTCCAAATGTCAGACAAAGTTGTAAACAACTATTATTAATATGCGATCTTATCTATGGGTCCATACTATCCATCAGTCCATAGCTTATGGCTATTTATCTCAGATTCACGCAATAAACACTTTCTTATACTCAGCGTTTGCCACGAGAAAAAAAGTTGTGTCAAAAATGATATAATGTTTGGTCTTTCAATACAATTCAGTGAACCCTTGTTTACCAAAAAGTTGCCAAAATTTTACGAAATATTTTTATTATTATTTTTGGCAAAAGTTCTCTAATTCTGAACCAAAAAATTAATCAAAGGTTGTCTGAAATGGAAATTATCAAAGAATTCTTTGCAATAATAGGAATAAATTATCATTTCGTAAAAATATATGTATAATATATTTAGAAGAATGCATTGTTTCCCACAAAAACTGATAAGACTTGACAAACATTTCCAGAAAATTTGATCCATATTTTTGGCAAATATTTGCATTTCTATGCCATTTAAGCAAACATTGATTTTGACTGAATTCTTGCACTCAAAATCGTCATATATTCAGTACATTATTGCATATTTAATTGTCAATTAACTCATTAAACATTACATCATTTACAAAGTAATGATAATTTTGATTAAAGTGTTATAATTATCTTAAAATATCAGAAATTATTAATTCATTACACATTATAATTGTATGAATTTCGCAAAAAGTGACGTACGGTTTACGTTAATTGTAATCATTTAAATCAAAATTAATTTCCACGTGGTCTTTACTCCCGCTCTCTCTCTCTCTCTCTCTCTCTCTCTCTCTCTCTCTCTATTCTCTATTGAGTTGGTTTTGCAGGTATGGCATAAAAAACTGTCACAACTCGTGAACGCTATCTCTTTAATGCCTTGTATTAGAAAAGTGCAAGAAATAGGAGACAGTTNCTCTCTCTCTCTCTGTCTCTGTACGTGCGATAGTGTGAGGGTAAACGTGAAGGTAGGCATTCGCTGGACTCATGATAGTGTCGGATGAATGACCCAACTCTTAGGGTCGAGAATTGCAGAAAAATGCTTGAATATAGATATATCTCAGTCTGTGGTTAATGTCAATCAAAGTTCAAATTGTTTTGCTTTTTGGTTCACAAAGAATTCAAAGTAAATAAAATAAAAATTGATTTTTCTTATAACTGTCTCCTATTTCTTGCACTTTTCTAATACAAGGCATTAAAGAGATAGCGTTCACGAGTTGTGACAGTTTTTTATGCCATACCTGCAAAACCAACTCAATAGAGAATAGAGAGTGCCTTTTGGGAGAGAGAGAGAGAGAGAGAGAGAGAGAGAGAGAGAACATGATTGCTGCCTTGACAGTGAACCTGCTTATCAAATGTGAGTTAAGCCCTAATGCCTAACGATTCTTGTTAATCGGGTCACTAAACTTGGTTACAACCCATGAATACTAAACAATTCGATGTAATTTATTGATTGAATTCCAGTTTTCACTTTCTCTCTGCCGTCCCCTCCCTTTCCTCACCCCTTGTTTGTGACCATAAACTCCTATATAAAGCGTCCGAAACGATCACTAGAGTCATCATATCTCAAGTGTTCACTTGTATTAAACAAATAAAAAGTTTTTCTTACACTGAAATAAAAATGATTAGTTTTGCGAGAATAACGTTAACAGTAGTCGTCTTGTATTTAAGTCCGTCTTTCATTGACGGTTCGATCCGAGGCTTTGGTGGCCGAGAGTTCTCCACCGAAGCGCCGACTCTTGCGACCACTTCTGGTCAACTCCGAGGTCTTCATGTCGTCAAATCAAAACGCGTTGAAAGCTATCAGTATTTGGGAGTTCCGTACGCCTCGCCTCCCGTCGGGAAACTCAGATTTCAAAGACCGCAACCATTGAATGAAACAAATGAGCTGAGAATGGCCACTGAATTCGCGCCCACATGTGTTCAGATGAGACATTTGCCACAACTTATTAACCCACTTCTCAATGTTGACGAAGAACACAAAGTAAGTCAAAGTTTTTGCATCTCTTTTTGTATTTCAAGAATTCATTAAATTCTTGTAATATCAGTAAAAATAATATTAATTCAAAAAAAACTAATCAAAATTTTCCAATTGTTTAGACCTCTGAGGACTGTCTATATCTCAACATATATGTACCGAAACAGCTCTCAAACACTAAGCAGTCTTCGCTGCCGGTAATGGTTTGGCTGCCGGGAGAAGGCTATGACTTTGCGGACGCGCGACAATTTGACGGCTCATTCTTGGCGT